GATTTATTCTTTTCATATATGTGGGGACGACGAGAGATGATGCGTTACTACGTATATTGCCCACGGCGTCGCGGGTCACGCCTTCACAGTTCAGCCGCCGCGACGGTACACGCGACACGTGCTTTTTTCGCACCGTGTCGCCTGTTTTTGGCAAAAGCGAAATAATTTCTGGAAGTGCACTTTGTAAAGAAACCAAAAATTTGTGCGTTTCGCCTTGTTATATGTGTTTGTGTGTGAGCATCACTGAGCAGTGGATTATTGGAGTGTTGGTCGCAGTGCGTTTCTGATGTTGGAAGCGATGAGAGGAGATTTGAATTCCAGTGGACTCATTTCAATGTTTTGACTGAGCTGGTTTCTAGCATAACAAAGACAATCTTTATTTGCATGAGTTTCATATCATGCCACGATTCTGTCGAGCAAAAAGTAAAAATTTGAACAAGTTGTGTTTGAAAACTATGCAATCCTCTCCGCAGACACTACGAAGAAATCCCTTGATTGACTTTGAAAACCTGCGTAAACTCATCGAATTATTACAGCAATATGAAATTGAAGGTATCGTACATTGAATTAATTGTATCAATTTTGAACTTATTTTCATTTTCTAAAATTCACTGTATAATAACTTGAAAAAAACGTCTCTGGTCTTTTATTGTTTACGATGTTCGTCTTGATGTCGACTTGAATTTGAAAGGTTGAACCTTCCTGAAATGCTTGCAATTTTTGTCCACATTATTAGTCTGGTTATTGTATTGAATTTTTTGGTGCGAGTCACTTTTTCTTTACGAAGATATTTTGTTGTACGATTTTTTTTTACGTATGCTTTGATTGGCGCAGAGAAACTGCACACATCTTTAACGGTTTTCTGTATATTAAATTTATGGATGTAAAATAATTGTATTCTAGTCCTGTGGAAAAATGAACAATTTTCTTTTGTGTTTCCTCCAAAAAAAATCATTCCTATTGCATGTACGCAACAGTTTTTTCGAGAGCTATGAAAAATGGAAACCTGATGCTGCAGGATTTTACTCACTTTTCTCGGGTCATAAGACAGAAAGAAATGTATTTGTACAATTTTTTTTTACTGACTGAAGTTTTTGTCATTTTCAAAAGCACAAATTTGAATATAATGTTCACTCTGGAATTGAAATCTATTTTATTCCCTGCAAAAGGAGTAGTGCATTGCAAAGAGGTACAGTGAACTAGTTTTTATGTGTATACAAATGTGTATTGTTGTTATTAAGGAATGATCATCAAAATGTTTTCTTATCAAATATTACTGTCAAGACAAAATACTATAATGAAAGTTTGTTCCTGCTTATTCAGGCGTTTGAGCGTTCAGTGGAACCAACTTGCTCGATTTAATTGAAGGTAAACAGGATTGCAACATGAAGTTTTGATTGAAATCTGTATTTATCATTACAGGGACGTCAAATGCTACCATGAGAGTGAGAACAGTGCATTTGTTGAGCATCGGACTGGTTGCCGGTGAGTGTGAAGCAGCGACACCTGTTCAAATTTACATAAAACCGCAGGATCGAGTAGCGATGTCTTGCTACTAGAGATCTGCATTATATTGCATTTAAGAGAAAATAAAACTTACAATCGATAAACTTGGGCTTAAAAAGGCGAAAAATCCTTGGATGATCCGGAAAAACACATTTCTTTCTTGTGAGAGGTACGGAAATTCCTGGCCGTATTGTGAATTGGATAATTAGAAGTCAACAAAATGCAATTACTGGCATTGCCAGAACGATATTAATTTTTTTTTCTGAACAAAAAAGATTACCTACGAAACGAAGCATTCTCTGAAATAATTTTAGAATGGTATTACTGAAAAAGAATACAGATGTGCATCACCCTCAAAAATTTTTTTCAATCCACAAATTCCAATCGGCTTTTCTTCCACAATAAGACTCTAAGCTAATGATCTCCCCATAAAATTCTCTTTTTCGTTTCCGGTGTCTTTCGACAGTTAGAAGATGAAATTCTCTGATTTATAACAATTTCCCGATTCGAATATGATGTGAATTTAATCAAATTTCAGGAATCTTTGCCATTCAAGCATCTTGTGATTCGTCGAAAACCGATGTCAAGGAAGAACAAAGGAAGGCCAGACAAATTTACCGAGAGCAAACCTACGGATTGAACACTAATCTCAACACAATCCATCATAAAAAGCGTCCTGCTTACAATCCTTTGGACTCCTATTACAGGCAACATCAGCATAAACCTCTGAGACATGATTACAACGTGGACCATCTTTATTGGGATGATGGAAAAAAATATGATGACAATTCCGGACAGGACACGTTTTATGTAAGTGGCTGAGTATGGAAAACATGTGAAAATTTTGTACATTCTTATGTCTGCATTTTTTTTGGAAAATTCATCTTTTTGTATCGCGAGCTGATGCGAAATCGAGGACTGGGAACGGGATAATGCAATCGATGGGCTCTTCATCCAGAAAAAAATCTTCGATTTTTATGTTCGAATGTTTTTTTTAATTTTTATGTTTGATTTTTGAGGTCAGATCAGCAGAGTCTCGAGTCTTCAGCAATTGATTGTTCTTCAAGAGTTACGCATTAAAATCATATGTTCATCATTAATGGTGTTTCTGACTATATAAAACCCAGTTTCATGCATGAACAGATATTTGGTGAAAGTGTGACTGCTTGCCGATTAATATCTTATCTCTTTGCAACACTTACAGAGTTAGAAAGACGCGGAATTTTTCAAGTTGAATCGGAAAAAATCGAGTCAGAAATATAAACCTCAAATAAATTTTAGTACTGGCCTCCATTTTTGTTTAGAATACAATACTTTCATATTCTATTTTTTTCAGTTTTCTGAAATTCATCGATAACTTATATTATAATGAGTCTCATTTTTTCGAATTACTGTAATGTATAATGACGCCCAAATCATGAATGATGACTTGTATGGTAGCTCATACACCACAAATTTTCAAATTTGAAATATGCTAATGGATTGTTCATTCGGCAAGGAATTCAAATGAAAGGCAAATACAAGACAGTAAACACTTCCGCTGTGTCAACGTTTCAAGTAAACCATTTTTAAGTCAGTGCTTTTAAAAGATTAAATAGTGAAATTCTGAATATTCAGCAACTCGTACTTCTGCAGAATTCGTGCATGCTTTGAGGGTTTTTTAGGAGACCCAAATGTCGTGAGGTTAACTTAACTTACTGTAATTAATTTTGGCTGGAAACGTCTATATGCAGCACAGACATTTTCTTTAAATAAGAAAGTATGATTAAAGAAGGAACATGTTTTCCGAACTGCACTTTCGACAGGTTGCAAGTACTACTGTGGCAACAGCTACGCTCCGCAGGGACCAGCATTCCCCGCAAGGTTTCAAAGACAGGAGCGACACCTACTCCGGTGAAGCCAACTATGCCAAGCCGAGTCTCACACCCGTCGGCCAGGAGTCCTGGCACAATCAGCAACGCGGGATTCTGTTGTCCAATAATGGTCATCTATTGATCCAGCCTTCTCACGTTTATGAAAGTTTGGGAGCTTGGAGAATTAAGTATTTGCAGGATGATCCTTCAACTGGGCACTACTTGGGGTATTATGGGGCACATTTGCCTCTGTTTCAGGCGTTACAGCAATCATCGTTTCTGCCAATTGTTTTGCTGAATGCTGGGCAAAATGATGGTCGGCGACATGCCGGGGATTCTTACCAGTACCCCGCTTTCGTTGGTAAGATTTCTCAGAGGGTTTCTTCAAATATCTCTGTAATATCTTTCAATATACTTTGAGTAGTACTTTTATCGCATGTGTAGCGAAAATCGTTTTTAAACAGCAATATTTTATAATTTACAATACTGACGACTGTCCCAAACTTTCCAAAATCTCTCCGATCGAATTTGAATTTACCAGAGCATTTGGAAAAGCGATAAAAACATTGGAAGAAAGGTTTCATGAATTTCAAAGTGGTCCAAAAACTAGAAAATATATCAAAACATTGAAAATTGCTTTTAGTGATGATGAAGTACTGTACCAAATTTTTAATGCAAGTTCAATTGAAAAATAAATTAGCAATAAATAAATAGAAGTCGCTCTTCACGAATCTTTCCCTAGTGAACTTTGAGGGTTCTGCAGAAGAAATAAGATGGCCAAGAATTTTTTTGCCAGATTTTTGAACTCATACATTGATAAATCAACCCGTTTTCATCATTACTGATGCTTAATTGGATGATGCATTAAATTCCTGATTTATTTTTCATTTTTCAGGTCATAGACCTTTGGTCTACCGGTGAAACCTTCCAAGATTTCCAATTTCACAAGTCTTGCATGGTTGACGCGAATTTTTCAACACTAGAGGTCCATTTGCTCAATTTGTATTCGTCATTCAAGCCCCTTTTGATCTCTTCTGAAACCAGTGGAAGAATACATTCTGAAAAATTTTGAATCGAACAAATGACTCGTTATCATATTGACACTGGGGTATTTTTTTGGAATTTCGGAATGATCATGTGCTTCATTGTCAAGGAAATATGGGTTGATCTTTTATTCCTTATACTATTTATAGAATAGACTTTTATGCTAAAGTCTAATGCACTCGGTATTCTTAGAATTCATGATTTCTAAACTGTTTATTTTGCCATATGTTTCACTTTACTGCTGCTACAGCAAAAAGTGAGCGGAAAATTTGTCTCTTTAGAAAAAACTGCCCTTAAAATTGGCATGGCATGTTATACCATATGTTACCATAAGTTTTTTGAAAGTTTTCTACATTTGCTCACAATGAAAATCATTTGATAGTCTATCGAAGCCAAAAACGCTGAAATTTAGATATACAGTACCTTCAAATTAAATTCAATCCACAAGAACTAAAAAAATATATATCAAGACTTCTGCGCAGCACTTTGGTCTTAATTTCCTAATTTCGAGTTATTCCACCAATTAATTAAAATAAGGAAAGTGCACCAAACTTCAAATTAATATTCTCTTTTAAATTTTGTATTTGAGCTTCAGTTAATATTGAAAAGAAACCATGCACAATTGTAACAACAGAAAGTCAGGATAATATTATTCCAATCCGGAAATTATTTCCTTTTCTCAACCATTCTCCACTTTAAAGAATAAATAAGAGGCCACTCAAAAGGATACAAAAGCGTACTTATGAAGAAAATGAAGCTTTCTTTAGTTCCACGTATAGTTGAATGAAAATTAACTCTACGACTCAACAAATACTATTGTGCGAAAACCGTTCCAATATATTTTTGCGCCATTTATTAAAACTCTATCAAACAAAAAAACAAGCCTGAAAATCGCCACTTTAACCCTTCAACAATTGCAATCTTCAATGCTTCGACGTTTTGCACCATCAGTTCCAAGTGGAAGTGGAATCCATCCGAGATCATTAGCGGCAAAAGCTAGTTCCCACCGCACAAACCGCAACAATGCGGATTTATTTATTCAGGAAGAATTAATCGCGCAGTAAAAAGAAAAACGAGTCAAGATAAACTAATTGAATACGGGACAAGAAATATAGCCAGAGGCGGGGGAAGAGAAATAAAACGTACTCGTACATCAGGAAAAGCTGCTTTCACTCATCGTCCCGCAGGGCCTTTTTCTTCCCAGGGCAAACAAACGCGGATTCTTCGCGTCGATGTCGCTGTCGCTGACGGCGACGGATTCTTCACATCGCCAGCACAGCAGGAGCCGCGATGGGAAACTTTCGTTGAAAAATCTCGCGACGAATCCCAAGAGAACAATTCGCGATTTTCATCACGAGTCCAATTAATTCTCCTTTTGTCACCGTCGGGTCATTTTTTCTTTCGAAAGTGTTTCTTGAGACCCAGTGGCTTTCTTTCGATTACTAGGAAATGAAGACGCCATTATATATAAATTTTAAATTACTTCCTACAAGTTTCATCATGAGAAGCGAGTAGAATATGCAGTCAAACCTCTTTGAAAAACTCGAGTTAAGTGGTTACTTGGGATACCAAACATTTTTGTTGATGGATTGAAAGAAGAAGAGTTACAGATAAGTGTAATTGGTAATTTTCTGGTTCTATAATTGCCTCTTAATTGAAATGACAAGATGCTGAACTTATCTTTGGAGACAAGGGATTCATTTGCCAATTAGTCTTCCACTTCCTTTCACAACACATGCAGTTACATATTTTATTGCTTTTCCCTTTCTTGTGTCAATTAAATATCACCAGAAACGCCTCAAGAAAATTTTAGCTGTGGTGGTTTGAGAGGGAAAAACCTCGATTTTTAATGTATTTTTTCATCCATAAGGACATTCAAAGGCGGACGTGAAAACATTTCAAAATAGAGAAATTTCGTCTTATGAAGGTTCGAGTTATCGAGGTTTAGCTGTAGTTGAAATGCAGCCATTGCTGGGATATCAATTTTGTCAAATTGAGACTCAGAAACCACAGCGAACGAGCCATTATTTGCTAATTTCTTCTCGTCGTAAATTTTTAGCAAGATTAAAAATGCTTCCCTAAACGACTCATTCGTCCGTGAAAACGCGTTGAAATTCGCTAAAAAAAAAGCGCGTCATATCCTTCAAAAGCTGAAAAATAAAAATAAATGGGGAAATGTCTGCACGAAAGCTATTCCGACCTGTTGCCGATCTCATTTCGATATCGACAGATGGTGGATACCGAAGAAAATGAAAGTTTCTACTTTTCATTTTCTCGTCAAATTCTTCTTCTCAAAGCCAGTCTCACCTTCGAACAACGACGCAGTTTTTCAGTATATATATTTTTTTTAATCAAAATCTTCGACATTTTTCGTAATTTTTTTTTTTTTTAATTCCGTTTCACGGAAGAAAAACGCGATTGGCGATAAGTCCAAGGGTGTTACATCACACCGTGAAGAACGACGACTCGCATGCAACAGCAAACACGTAAATTCTTGATTATTCCACACTGACCGATTTCACGGAAGGAAATAAGCAAGAAAAACTTGAATGAAAAGCAGAAAAGGAAAGTTGCACTCACTAGTGTGCTTTTGTTGTTGGCCAGAGGGCATGGCTTTCAATGCAGCACGAGTACGAGGAAGTTTCCGGACTTGTGGAATTCAATGTACTTTTGATCCAATTTTTGGAAACCGCCTTTTGATTGCGAAAAATCCGACGGCTATGGTGACGACTTTTCTGTAAGAAAATTTTTCCTTTATTTGTATACCAGTCGTGAAATATTTGCCTCGTGCAAATACGCAACTGCACAATCCCCGGAAACTGGACTGCTTGAAAGAAACAATTCAAATGAAAGGAGAAGAAAAAAAAAAGCCTAAATTGCGAAACACCATTTATAATGTCTGAAGCGTACTTCATGAAAGGACCTCGAGTCAGACTTATATTCCCAATATTTTTGAGTCTTTATTGAAGTTGATTAAAACAAAAGAGGAATCGTGAACAAATTAGGAGCCAAGTTTTCTCTAAACGTACTTCTACAAAATATTTTCAGATTTTTCCCCCCTTTTCCAATGAAAAGAGAATAAATTTCCTTAACACTTTCACTTTTCATGCCTTTCATTCCTTCATTATTCGATCGATTATATAGAATTAGTACATGCACAAGAAATTCACCAATAATCAAGTACACATTTTTTGCTCAAAGGGCACGTGGAATTGGGACCGAGCAGTGGAAAACGTCCACCAGTGTACAATCATGTTTCTCGTGTTTTTCCTCATTCTGTGGAAAATTGCTACCTACAAATTTTGAAAGGGTGCTGAAACTTTTTAAAATTTGGTCTCTATTTTTCCCCTCTGTAATTTCTATTAAAATTCAACATGATATTCCAATTAATGGCACCAGTTTAATTGAAAAATCCTTCGTTCAGGTCCCACATTTTTTTGGAGGTAGTGCCAATTTGAAATAACTAATTCGCCAGAAAAATTTTCAAATGAAACTATGTCTGAAAAGAACGTGGAGGACTATCCCAGGTTATATTTTGAAATAAGTAAAAGATATTAAACATTGAAATGAATAGAATTCCGGAAATCTGCGCTTTCACGACTCAATTCCGAGGCAAAAGACTCGATGGATGCAATAAATAGGAAAAAATCAAATAAATACAGATGCCCTTAAATTCAAAGGAAGAAAAATACAGTGTGACTGTAAACCGCGAGAGAAAAAAGGGCTCGAGATAGATTTTTAAAATCGAGGACGAGGATTTTCCCACGGCTAAAAAAAAAAAAAAACATGTATGTCGAACAGCGATGCTCTCAATTTGCATCCTTGATCGTCACGAGTCTGTGTGAGAGTGGTGGTTAAGAAAAGTAAAACGGTCTTGAATATGATGCCGCGTGTTCGCCTTTTTTCCTAGCTTCCTTCCTGTTCTTAATTTATCACACATTTTCTCCGCCAGATTCTTCTTATACAGCTTTCATCTGTTGCAAAAGATCATGTGAGTATATATACTCATATACTGAGCCATTCAAGATTTCCCTCTCGAACCCAACTGCGTGAGAATCAGTGAGATTGAAAAACATCTGGGAACCCAAGCGATTTCATTTTTCATTGAATTATCCTGGAAAACAAAAATGATGCATCAAATTGAAAAATTATTCGTCCGTGAAACGCATTTAAAATTGTGTGCCTTTTTCAAAGGCATTTTCGCAAATACTCGAGAGTAGAGAGGTACTGTATTTCAATCGACCAAAACTTCCATTTAGAACTCAACTGTAGTGATTAAAATAAATGTGGGGCATTTTTCCTGACAAGTGAAGGTCTACAAATTCCATATTTGAGTACTTGACTGTCTTTCAAAAATTGTTTGACTTTTAAAATCTATACGAAGTGTCCGATTATTGTTTGAAGATTGCAACATCTGAAAAAGAGGTTAAATTAAAGAAATCCTAGCTATATAGACTCATAATAATCCAATTTTATTTTATTAATTATTTAAAATCTCGAATTAACGATTTATCATCATCCGAAGTATTTCCGCCTTGAGAATATTTCATATAACCAAAAATATGCTTTTGCAGATTTCTGGTTGACAATTTTCGAATATGAACAGTACAAGTGGACTCTCAACAACGAAATTCAAGAGAGCTGGATGAATTCGTTGTACAGTATATAGAGAGCATTTTTTCGCAGAGAACCCCGAAAAATCGTTATTGAAGAATTGTTACAACTGCAAATGTATTTAAAAAGTTAGGAAATTCATTCTCCCACAATCAACTGTTCAAAATGCTCCTCATGAAGTTAATAAGCCCACTTGAATATTTCGAAGCTTCCTGAAGATTTTTTGTGCGATATTCCGAGACCCACGTGACGTCACTGTCCGGAGAAAGCCGCTAATTTCACCCTGATTTCCTCCTTATTTAGACTTCCTGTTCTGGCAATGAGAAAAAATAATGATACTGAAACAAGAAGAGAAAGAATGTAAGAGGAAGAAGAAGAAGCAGAGAAGAGACCTAATAATCCAACCCACCCGCACGCGACGAATTCACGCCTCCACCAGCACCCGGTAATC